TAATGTAATAATAACGAATGTGGATAGAAAGTGTGGGTATACTGGGAAGAGCATATTCTTTGAATAGACAGACATGGATATGTCGTTAACCTTATTAAGCCTCTATTTCTTTATCTGTACATGGGAATAATGTCTCAGTGAGGCTGGTGTTAAGATTAAATACAATGTCATACATAAAGAATACAGTAAGCACACATAGCAAACACTCCACAAGTGCTACCTGCCTTTCCCCCTAAGTAATTACACTATATATGTTACTTTTTTTTTTTTTTTTGAGACGAAGTCTTGTTCTGTCACCCAGGCTGGAGTGCAGTGGTGTGATCTTGGTTCACCGCAACCTCCACCTCCCAGGTTCAAGCAATTCTCCTGCCTCAACCTCCCAAGTAGCTGGGATTACAGGCATGAGCCACCATACTTGGCTAATTTTTATGTTTTTAGTAGAGATGGGGTTTCACCATGTTGGCCAGGCTCATTTCGAACTCCTGACCTCAGGTGATTCACCTGCCTCTGCCTCTCAAAGTGCTGGGATTACAGGTGTGAGTGACTGTGCCTCGCTGATGTTACTACTTTTAAAAGGAGAAGGGTATGAATTATGTTAACACTTTATTTTCATATGATTTAATCACATTTATTTTTAAATTCAATTTCTCTATTATTTAAACCAGGTGTTGGAAAACTGGCCTATGGGCCAACTCTGGCCTGTTTTTGTACATGAAGTTTTAGAAAAACTTGTTTTTTTTTTTTTGTTTGTTTGAGATGGAGTCTTGCTCTGTCGCCCAGGCTGGAGTGCAGTGGCCGGATCTCAGCTCACTGCAAGCTCTGCCTCCTGGGTTCACGCCATTCTCCTGCCTCAGCCTCCCGAGTAGCTGGGACTACAGGCGCCCGCCACCTTGCCCGGCTAGTTTTTTGTATTTTTAGTAGAGACGGGGTTTCACCGTGTTAGCCAGGATTGTCTCCATCTCCTGACCTCGTGATCCGCCCGTCTCGGCCTCCCAAAGTGCTGGGATTACAGGCTTGAGCCACCGCGCCCGGCCAGAAAAACTTTTAATAAAACACACCATGCCCATTAATTTAGGTGGTTCTATAGCTGCTTTCACATTACAATGGCAAAGCTGAGTAGCTGAAACAGAGACCCCGTGGCCTGTAAAGCATATTTACTGTACGGACCTTTATAGAAAAAGTCTGCTGATCTATGATTTAAACTATTCTGAGCTTTTCTTAAATGAATACTTTCTCTATATATTAAAAGAAAACAAGACAAGGATAGGAAAGGAAAACAATGAGAGAAAAAGATTCTTCTAGGATGTAAAAATGGCAAAACAGGCCATATATGATGGCCCCTGCCTATAATCACAGAGTTTTGGGAGGCAGAGGCAGGAGGACTGCTTGAGGCCAAGAGTTTAAGACCAGCCTGGGAAACATAGCAAGATCTCATCTCTACAAAAAAAGTCAAAAAAGTAGGTGGGCATGATGGCATGCACCTGTAGTCCCAGCTACACAGGAGGCTGAGGTGAGCTACACAGGAGGCTGAGCCCAGGAGTTTGAGGCTGCAGTGAGCTATGATAGCATCACTGCACTCCAGCCTACGTGATAGAGTGATACAGTAAGACCCTGTTGCAAAAAAAAAAAAAAAAAAAAAATTGCAAAACAAACATTGATTCCAAGTATACCAAAGAAATACTCGAAACTCTAGGATAAAGCTGAGCTCTAATTCAGTATTGTCAAGAAAATATACCTTAAAGAACATTTTATAAATGAAGTTCCTACAAGATGACTATTATTTCTGAAGTGGGAATGCACCATGAATATGGAACTTGGAAGAGTGAATTTAAGGGGTAGAAACGTGGAATTTTATAACCTGGCAATGAAAGTGACTGAAACCACATTAGTCAGGCAAAATAAGCTGATCTCTCTAACTACAGGTAAAATAACATTCCAAACATTGAAAAATGTACACAATCAAAATTGTACATGGTAGGGGTTTAAGAAACCATTTCCCCTGCTAATTTTTGATGTTTACATGGAATGTTCTTCCAGCAGCAAATAACTTACCAATGATCTTGACAGATTGAAAATGATACATCTTTACCACAACATAAATTAATTCTCTCAATGGGAAATTGCTAAAATAGGCAAGGTGTCAGAAAGATTTCTTTATGTCTGAAGGAAAGGAAATGATTCCATTTCTTCCAAACATTCTTACATGAAAAATAATAAACTCTCACTTTTAAACTGTCTTTATTTTCAGGGGGTCCTAGGCACCCTCACTAATTGGGGCAGTCATAGTTATCTGGTGTTGGACATGAGTCAGTCCATATTACTTCAGGTATAAAACAGCCAGTTGGAGACTGCCTCCATAATTCATATTATACATGAATAAATATCACAGCAATACCCAGAAAAGAGGATTGCGGAATTACACTTCACTCTCTTTCATTCCTTAGATTTACAACATAAATGTCACACAAAGATCCTGGAAAGTCAATCTTCACAAAATAAAATATAAAGGAAACATGGTGGTCTATTCAAGGAAATAGATAAATGCCTAACACAAATGAACTGGTTCATCCTTTAGAAGAATGACCTTGATACTGTTCCTAAAATACAAAGTTGAAAACCCCAGATGAAAGAGATGAACATTTACTGAGCACTGTGTTATACGTGTGCTATCACATTTAACTTTGATACAAAATCTATATAATTGGTATTAGTGACTTGCCCAAGGTAACAACATTTGTAAAGAAAGAAGTTCAGGCAGGAACTCTGGTCTATCTCCCATACCTAACCTGTCTTCAAAATGTTCAATCCTGATTGAACACAGGGTATCTGTCAACCATGACAGATACCCTGTGTTGGTATGGGGCAACCCTGAGATGCCCCATAGAGAAAGAGGTCCCCTAATCACAGCATCTAAGTTTACTAAATCCTCCCTTTGGAGACTAGCAGTGCATATTAAAGCCCTGAATTAAAGAAATCCATTTAACTTTGTCGAACTCATCATATCCCCAAACTTACTAGGAAATCCCTTTTCCCCAACTAGTATTTTGTGAAGTTAGTATTCGGAAACACACTTTGCACAGTGGAAAATGGATGACAGAGAGATACATAAACTGTCAGAGAAGATAAACAATTTTAATCATGGCTAAGGAGATGATGGTGTGGTTACAAGTGGCTTCTCTTTGCTCTTCGATTCAACCAAAATTTTGAGTAAGACACCCAATGCCCTAGTCCCCACCTACCTCTGAGTCTCATCTTACACTTGGGCAACCTGGCCTGCTTTCAGTACTGGGGACCTGCTGGGCTTTTCCCCTCCATCGAGCCTTTGCAAAATGTTCCCTTTGTGACATTGCTCCACCTTTCCTCTTTACTTAGTTAACTCCTTTCCTGCCTGGGTCAAACTTCTCTCTGGACGCCCTCCTATCACAGAATTCTATATAGCACTTGCCATGATTACAAGGTTATATTTATTTGTGTATTGATTTGATTAGTGATGGTCTATACTCCCACCGGGGGAAGAGAGCTATCTCTCTGTTTCTCAGACAGCACAAAGATGCGGGACCTCTTCCACCATCTCCATTCACTCCTGCCCAAGGAGGAACAGTGACTTAATGAAGCACGAACTAGGGAGGAAGGGCTGGGCACCCTCTGCTCAGGGTCCGGGGTGCAGTCTGGTCAGCTCCCACCCTGAGGTAAGCTGAGAAGTGCACTGTGGGAAATAAACTGAATTCTGGGAAGACATACTAGGAAGCCCAATTGTGACAGATCCAAGCTCCATTCTGTGGTTTAGCTTTATGTAATATAGGTGATATTTTGTTCTTCATCTGTGACTGCTGTTTTATTTTTTAATCATTTCCACACTTAGGAGAGGAAGACAAAAGTGATCTTGTTTGGCCTCTAAAATGCCAATATTCTCCAACAGGTGTAAGCTCCTGTGGTCAGGGAAAAGGGCCTCTCTCTGCTCACCTCAGTAGCTCAGTTTCTGGCATTTACGAGGCATTCAAAATGCCATTTCGCCCAGGCTGGTCTTGAAATCCTGGCCTCAGGTGATCCTCCTGCCTCAGCCTCCCAAAGAGCTGTGATTATACGTATGAGCCACAGTACCCAGCTGAAGTCCTAGTTTCTTGATACATGTAACTCTACCAAGATTTTCTTACTAATAAATTTTTTAAACAACTGAACTTTGTCTTCAGATTATTACAGGCTAATCCTAATGTGGAACTGAGGATAAAGTTTTGAGCAGAGTCAATCCAAATCAATGAAGACGGTATCCTTAAAAGGACAGAAGCCTCTTTAAGGCGAGGACCTGGAGGAGAGGAGATGAGAGTGCAGGAGTAGTGGACATCCATGCGTGTCAGGGAGACTGAGATGAAAGAGGAGGCACATACGAGAGATGGGCTGGGAAAAATAAAATGGATTACTTGATTGGAGAATAGGTGGGTATAAAGAAGCAAGTGAAAAAGCTAAATTGAAGGGCAAGTTTCCACTATTTACAGAAAAACCTGGAGAAGACAAGAACTCCCCCTTTTTCTCAAGGCATTGTAAAAACAATGAAGTCTCCTTGGAAGAAATATTCTATTTAAATTTCTCCAAGACTGCTTAATAAATTGTTTTCTCTAAAATATGTAATGATTTTAACTGTTTTAGAAGACAAAGTGTTCATAACATATTTAGCTGTAAATCAGGTGATGAAATATATATTATTGTAGAGCCCATTAAAAATGTTGTGTATGTGGGTATGCATGGTAAAAATGGGAAATATATTGACAAAAAAATCTACAAAACCATTATTGCATGCATATTAACAATAATCTAGAAATATTTCTTCAGTAATAAACTGAAGAATGAATCAATATACAGAGACTAGAGAAAGGATTGATGATGTGGTGGGTCTGTGTCATCATCTGTCCCCAGCCCCCTTCTGCCCCCAGCACATCGCACACACTTTCTCTTTCTCCTCTCTCCTCTCCTCCTCCTCAAGGCGGTAGGGCCAAGCCACTCACCTGTCGGAGTGCTGCTGCGGAATGAAGAGGAGGGGGTGATGGGTGGGGTCACGGGGGGAGTAAGGCTTCCACTGCTGTGGCGTGGGGGAGTGGACACATTCCCTCGAGACACTGAGCTGGACAGAGTCAGTGACAGCTTCGGCTGAATCTTCTTCTTTAGGGACTCCTGCTCTCGGCGGGCAGCATCTGTCATGAATCTGAAACAACAATAGAACGTAAGGAACCTGGCCCACGTATAGAGCATGAGGACTCACGACATTCATTAGAGTTTCACAGATGCCCGACCCTGGAAAAGGACCTTGGCCACAGGTCAGTCCCAATTTCAAAAACTCACAACAGCTTCCCTTTTCCAATGCAATGGAATTATCTTCTAGCTTGTTATTTTTAAGGTTCCTCAAAGTCAGGTTCACTTCTTCCCTAGCAAATCCTGCTTGCCAGGAAGCTTACACACACAGAATACATCTGCACCCACTGTAATGCTTTCAGTTACAAGATTTCCTCTCTTGGAAGGTCTGCTCTCTTTTTTTCTACCCATAGGAAGCCCACACATCCTCAAAGTTCCCCAACCACTCCTAAGTAGACAGCGCTTCCTTTATCTGCAGGTTGGCAGTATTTCTTTGTACCATTTAACTGCCACCTAACATATATGGCCTCATGAAAACTCTCTTTTTTGTGTTACTTTGATTCTCAAATTGTTATTTGGGTTTAAAAACTCTTCTTGGCTAATTGAGGCCTTGCTTGCCTCATCATGAAGGCAAGGATTCTAGTCCCCAGTTCCTAGCACAGTGCCAGGCCCGCCTCAGGAAACACAGACAGAACTGCATACATTTGCCCAGGAAGATTCCAGAAGGGAATAGAGCAGCACAAGGAGAGAGGTCACCACTGATGATCTGTTTACGTTCTAATTTTATTACTCATAAAGAGAAAGGTGACTTTTCCTGATAGTTTCACTTTGGAAACTTGAGTTATTCTTCCAATGCTTCTCTGATGTTGGTAATATTCAAACTTCATTCTTTTCTCACTGTATAATCTACAATTTGTAAATTCGTGTAATATGAGATTCAAAACAATCTATGAAATGGTATCTCCTACCTAAAGAACATTCACCTTTTCATATTGGCAGGCAAACTTTGTCAGCTGCATTTTTGAAAGCTGCCATAGAAAGCATAGTCCATAAATGTATGATAGCGTTCAGATGATAAAACCACAGCTGTCCCCACCACCTAGGCTAAGAAACAGAACATTCCAGGCCCCTCAAGGCCTCTCTCCAACACCTTCCGCATGAACTATATTTTGACTATTTCAATACAATTTATCATAAACTCACTGCATTGCACTTAAACATGGTATTTTACCCAACCTATTTCACATTTTGTCTACAAAATTCCTTAGTATTTTTCCTCACTACATGATTAAGTTTTGGAAGTCAACAGATAGTTCTAATACCTGGTGAAAGCTTGAAGTCAATTAAATACCCAATGAAACAACAGTAATATTGTTACGCTGTCTTAAAATTTCTATTTTTATACTTGGAACATGGATGGCACATTTCTTGAATGGTTCTTGCAATATAGTCCAGATATATAAACTGGATTTTATATGCTGAACTGAGCTTAGTAATAAAGCTTTGCCTTGAGCTCTTAGGTTTTGTGCTATAGCATAGTGGTGATTTAAAAAGGACTGTCAATGCAAAAGAGAATTGTTTGCACATGTAGCCAGGTACTCATTTATTTTCAGATGCAAAATTGGTTCTATTGTCCTTAAAACTTCTTATTCTCCTCCTCATAAACCTCTATTAAAAATACAGACTCACAGAGAAAAGGAAAGAATGAGTGCTTTTTTAAAAAAATTATTCTAAGAAGAACTGCTAACTAGCATGGTGCTGAGCTTCTCACACTGGGGTATGCAGTGCGCCAGGGAGTGGCAAAGCCACAGGATAAACAGGCTGCTGCTTCCAGGAAGGCTGATTGTTCTCGAGGGCAAGTAATTCAAACTAGTGTTTCAAATAGCAAAACAAACACGGACATGCTTATGGGGGTAGAAAAAAATTTTTACGTCTTGCATTTTAGTTAAGAGCATGATATTTGGAGTGAGGCCAGGGTTCAAATCCTGGCTGGGTTATTATGTAATTTGAGGCAAGTTGATAAACTTCTCTGAATCTCAGGTTTACTCTCTGTAAAATGGGAATGAGAGAGTAGGTAAGGAATTAACATAAGTCTTTTCCCTTTCTGCATGGAGTCTGATCTTTGGCTAAATTTGGCAACCTGCTAAGACAGTATATTGACTATGTTACCAGGCGACACTATATAAGAATGACCTCTGACTGGTGAACTGCACAGCCTGGGAGGATCTAGGAACCTGTAGCTATCTGATAGGAAGCCAAGAATCCTGATTTGGGCTTCCTGAGCATGGTGATCTTGTAGCTGGGCATGGCCTTTGCAGAGAACTGGGGAGCTATGCCCAGAGCATGTTGCAAGAGCTTTGGCTTCTGTAGGGCACGAGGCTTTTCTACTAGGATGGTTTCCACTCCTACCCCTCTGCACCTGAACAGACTCTCATGTGCACTGCTGCAAAGGTGCCTGCAGAAGGCGGCCTGTCCTCCATCCTCTGAACGGGCCCAGTGCCCTATTGTGGCCCATGGTCATCTGTGAGTCTGAATGTTCACGACCTAAGAAGGTAACCTGCTGGCAGACGGGGCAATAACATTTCAACTTCAGAGGACTGTTGTGAGGATAAATGAGGTAATTGGCCCGACATGTAGCAAATGGCTCAACATGCAGAAGCTGTTATTAATTACATAAAGCATTATAATATGGTTATATCTCTATATTTTGTCCACCTTACTCAACTCCAAGTGTCTTGAGGACACACTACACACCCATGGCTCTGAAAGCACTAAGCACACACATGCCTTGTGTAGAGCAGAAATTCCATTTGTGGAACGGCTGAATGGAATAAACCCAGAGGGTGCATATCCAGTATGAGACAGAGAAGGAGAGATAACCAGAGGGAAGAGAGAGAAAGGCTTCTCTATGTCTAACTCATATATTTATACATTTTTTTTTTTTTTTGAGATGGAGTCTCGCACTGTTGCCCATGCTGGAGTGCAGTGGCACAATCTCAGCTCACCTCTGCCTCCTGGTTCAAGCGATTCTCCTGCTTCAGCCTCCCAAATAGCTGGGAATACAGGTGTCCGCCACCACGCCCAGCTAATTTTTGTATTTTTAGTAGAGACAAGGTTTCACCACGTTGGCCAGGCTGGTCTTGAACTACTGACCTCAAGTGTTCTGCCCGCCTCGGCCTCCCAAGTGCTGGGATTACAGAACTCATACCTCTTATTGTAAAATACTCTCCTACAGCTCAGATATAACACAACAACTATAAACAACCATAACAACATTCACACACACACAAACCCCGCCTTCACCCTCACATGGGTTTGGCCAGCTACAGACAGCAATCTGGATTTGGGTTATATCGTCTATAGTGCTTTCTAGAAACAAGAACAAGGCACCTATGTTAAAAGCATTAAACATGAAACACATTCTTAAAGCCCTGTCGCCAAGACTTCCTCCTGTAGTTCTCCCTCCTCTCTTGGATTGGTGTTGTGAATTTGGACGTACGATCTATAAATCATGGTAACCTTGACATATCAAGGCACACAGCTGCACAATTTGTTCTAGTGACAACCATACACACACATTCCCACACCACCCACCCCCACAAACACACACAGGAGTGCCACACAAGCGCTGTGGGAACCCTGGTTAAAATAGGCCCGTGTCTCCCCTGCACTACCATGTTGCTCCTCTTCCTCTTCCCTTCATTAACGACGACTTAACCCATTTTCTGAGACTTCCTAAGTTCTCAAGTTTTTGAGCAATGTTCCATCAGCACAGCTGTCTGTCAAAAGGTGGGCAGATTCCCAGTGGCAAGGAACCATTTGGGGAGACAAGAGTGTCTAGAGAAGCCAAGGAGGCATAGCAAAGGCTGTGATTCTGGCCAACAAATGAGGACTATGTTCCCCGTTTTACCAAATATCAGGGCTGGGAAAGGTTCACCACGTTCCCAAGGCTGAGTTCAGGTTAAGGGAGTCATGTCACTCAGTAGCCTGAGCTTTCCTCAATGAGTCTGGACACCACTGGTGATCTTTCTGAAGCTCTCAATAATCACGGCTGATGTGGATTTTTTTTTGGAGATAGGGTCTCGCTGTCACCAAGGCTGGCGTGCAGTGGTGTGATTACAGCTCACTGAAGCCCTGACTTCCTGGGCTCAAGTGATCTTCTTGCCTCAGCCTCCCAAGTAGCTGAGATCACAGGCATGCCCCACCATGCCCAGGTAATTTTTTGATTTTTTGTAGAGATGGGGTCTCACTATGTTGCCCAGGCTGGTTTCAAACTCCTGGGCTCAAGTGATCCTCCCACCCAGAGTGTTAGGATTATAGGCGTGAGCCACTGCACCTGACTTACTTGGGTTTTAGAGCAGGAAGGAACCTTGGTTAAGTCAGATCATCCGGTCCAGCCCCCTCATTTGTTACAGCAACTGTGAACTGAGGTGGTGTGACCTGTTTGAGGTCATTTAGGCTAGTGGCAGAGCTGGCATCAGAGCCTAGTCAAGCCTCGGGACTCTGTCATGGTTTTCACAGTTGAAAGCGTTCAGGGAGCCAGAGCAAGGGGCCTGGGGCAATGCCCCTCTGGCAGTTTACATGGGGGCAGTGGGCAGCTGGGAGAACAAAAGGCTCATCCTCCAAATGTCAGTCCGTCCTGCTGTGTGGGACCACTGGGCTCCCCAGTTGTGGGGCAGGGGGTCTCTGGAATTGTAGCCCCACTGGGCTACAATCTGGGGAAGGCAAGCTGGCTGTGCCCACCTCCCAGAATTCTCTCTGCTTTGCAGTGGTGACACTGCTCTGATCTGGCAGCTGCAGTGTGCTGGAGCTGGCTCATACTGGGTTGTGAAAGCTGACTTAAATTTTCAGGGATTTGGTGAATCTGTTGTTAAACACAGCCATTATTAAAAACTAAATTATATAAATAATTAAATCAAGTGCTTTGTTAAAAACAAGGATATTTAACTCAAGGCTCATCACTTAATTATTTTACTGCATTTTAATATGATCTATATTCTTGAGGTTATTTACGTTAACATTTTATCTATTTGGTAGAATTACTGTATAACTATATGCTATACAATGCAAAGT